TGACAGGCAGTGGTCAAAATAAAAACATACATTCCAAGCTTCAAAGAAAAACAAGTGTAAGAAATCTAGAGCTCATCAGCATTTATATGGTATTCTATCAAGATATATTTATAGGGGAATGGATACTGACATATTTTATAAAGGAGTAAAAATTTTAATGTATCTATTTGCAGAGGGATTAAAAAAGTTGAATAATTCATCTCTCGAGAACTCTTCATTATCAGTAGTTAGAGTTCAACTTTCTGCCTTTTAAGCAGTAGCTTTGCATAGTGGATCAACTAGTTTAAGATGACAATCAAAATTGATTGCTTACATGCAAACACAACCAACAGCATAGCGACGGATCATTAACCCCCAGATGGCCATCTATTGGGCTTCATGCCACATTTTCATATTCTTGATGTTGATTTCTTTTATTTTTTTCTGCTACTGTGGGCTTCTATGAGTGCACCACATTAGATTCAACAAACATTCTCAACTTCAGTAAATGATCATAAATGATCCTCATTGATGTAGTCCACCTGTGCGTAAAAGAGAATTGCAAATCTGAATAACTACCACCACAATAATTCCATATAAAGCTACAACTTGCAGCAGGAATAAATCACAGGAGCTGTAAAGCCTGTGGTTGCACATTTATAGAATAATAATAATAAAATAAATAAAAATCATAATTAACAAAATAATAATTTGATCAATAAATGGTGTGAAAAATATGTCTAACATATCACAGACAATTAACACTACTGATGGATGCAAAAGGTGCAACATATGTAAATGCTTCATGTGATTTCACCATCAACCAACATGCCAGAACATGCTCTAAAATCTCTTCTTAAATCACATGTACACTTGTACTGTACATCTCCAGACCATGTCTGTCATCCCTTCATCGCTACATCCATCGTGTTGACAAACGAAACATTTCACTTTTTGTGTAAAAGCCAAGGCATCTCAATTTATCAGACTGAATGTCTTACTGTTAGAAGAGTTTCAAGCAGCAACATGTTGCTGAACCTCCTCTCTGAACTTTCTGTGTATTTTCTATTCCAGATGTTATTTCAATAGTAGCTTGATCTCACTTAGAGCTCACTGACATGAAACCAGTGTCCCCTGGATACGGACATGCCAGCTGCAGCTGTAGTGAATGATAGCTCTGTCCGCAGCAAATAAAAATGTAATCTATAATATGTGATGATGTAGCCAAATTTACACTGGACTTTAAAATGGATAATTGCATGTTAGTGACAACAAATGTAGTCATTTGGATAACAGCTGGCTGTTTGCACAAGACTGCCACGTCAAAATTCTGGAGAACTCCTAAAATGAGTTCCTACCTGCAAGAAGGTTAGAAATATGAGAGAAATAGTGAACACAACATTTTTTATATGAACCGTTTAAGAATAAATTTGTTCCCATTAATTTTTCTATCATGAGAACTTTTGGTCCCAGAGGGCTGAATTTAAAGGTCTGAATGCATGGAAATTCTTTGGAGTCAAATCTGACTATTACTCTGAAATCTGACTATTGGTGGTAGTAATTTAGACAGGAAGAAAGATATGGTGGCAAGAAGTAAAACACTTCTTGTTTGGGGAAAGTAGAATCTCAGAGCAAGAGACAAAACAGCGAAGTTTGCCCCGTTCAAACATACAATGTGTATATCACAAATAACCCCCAAAAAACAACAAAAAAAACAGCTATGCCCCCTACCACAGTCCTTGTTGTAGAAGTATTTTCTTCTCTTTGAGCATAGTTTAAAACAAAATCCCTTGCCTGTTGGAATTTAACAGCATGATGACCAGGTTGGTCATGAAGCGGGGCTCTGCTTTGTTTTTTAATGACAGCCGACTGTGCAGATCTGCTTCTTTACATTTGCAAGCATCTTTTGAATATATAAATATATACAATATATTTATAAATATACATATATATTTTTTAACATTTTATATTATTTTCAAAATTTAGACATTGTCTCAATATGTGGTACACTGGTACATAGGTGAGAAATGAGTCACAGTCCTGCACAGACCAGGACCTGCCCCTCCTGTGCTTAGTAAGAGCCTCTCTATACACATTTATACAGTTATTGGCATCTTTAACCAATTAACTAAATTAATCTATTTTACTTATTTTTAGGTTAATCTACAGTATGTGATTAAGAAACATGACAGTTAAATATGGGTTCAGATGTGATGCACGTCCATTTCTTGCTGCCACTCTTTAAGAAAATTCCCTCAGCATAAACAAGCTGGGCTTTAAACATAAAGCTGTGGTTTGCAATCTAATAAGCTCAAAGTAGATCTCTGTTTCACTTTATTTGTTTTGTACTCCTGAGCTCCTACCATGAGTAAGTATACTGTTTATTGAAATGTTTTATTCATTGTTTATATCCAAGTCAGCCCCACATGCTATATGCAAATATAATGTGTGTATTTGCATTGTATTTTTCCCAAAGCTGATGCATTTTACTTTGCCGTAGTTTCTTTTTTCCTGTCAGACTCATAAGATTCCTGTCCAATTTACATGTAGAGCAAGAGTCTACCTTGGTCAGAGCTATGCAGGCATAGTTACAGACTTTTTTTTGTATTTTAAAGAGCAGACAGACTTTATGTAAAAAAGGCAAACAATACCTTTAACTGTTGAAAACAGCAAACTTTTAATACAAAGAAGGAAATTCTAACTGTGGTGCAGATATCACTCATCAAATCTGCTATAACTTTCAACATTTTATACTGACACAACATTTTCATTGTGAGTTACAAAACTAAACTGTCCAGGGGTCAGTTTCCCAAAGCAGGTTTACTGAAAACTTACTCAAAGTTTTCTAAATCTGAAATCAAAGAAACTGAGTTTTTAATTTCACACCAAGAGTTTACTCAACCTCTGTTTCTGTTACCATAGTAACATTCTCCTCAGTTTACAGTTTGCCTTGAAATTACAGACTTCCTGTCTGACAGGAAGCAGCATGTGAAGCTGGGAAATAATGCCTGCACTTGAGGGGTTCTGGATAGAACATATTGAAAGACCAAAAAGTGTTTTTTTTTTTATCTTAAATGGCAAATGTTTACACACACACACACACACATATATATATATATATATATATATATATATATATATATATATATATATATATATATATATATATATATATATATATTTTTTTTTTTTTTTTTTACAATGTTGATATAATTACTGCACTAAATGAGTTGCTCTGTCAGCTAAAGGTATGCTTTACAGTCTTTATACTCCATTTAAAGATTAATCGATTACTGAATTAGTTTACAATTATTTCAATTATCAATTAATCATGATTAGTCCAATTAAATGTTCAGCACTAGACTTTTTATACAGGTATTTATAAGCAATTAATATTGATGAGAGCACATTTACCTATTTATTTAATCACGAGATTCTCATTTACTTATTTACTGTAGACAGATATAGAATGAAGAGCAACCCTTATGAAATGATGAGGTAGGTTAGAACAATTTCATACTTCATCTTCAACTGTTCCCAGGTGCGCTTCCTTCTCATGAGTTTTCACCTAAATATAATACATGATCCATTACCCTTCCAACCGCTAAACTAGTTTTGTTATTATGATTATAACAGGCTATGACAGGCAGTTTATATATTTATTAGCTTGTCTGAATAGGTAAATTTTATATAGGAAATACATTTTTGTTATTAAACAAAATTAAATTCATTATAACTAAAATAAACATTCTGGATGTCTATAAATGAATTTGAACTTAAAATGTGTAAACATTTCTAGGTATATAAAATTTAACTCTAACTAGTACAAATTTGATTTTTAATTTCTGAAATTTAGTTTTTGCTGCAAAAATGTAATTTAGAAATATGTTATTATGGTTCTATCCAGTAATGTGAATTTGATGAGGAAGAATCCTATTCAAGTGATCTAGAAATGGAACAAAAGAGACCGGCCTGCAATAGAGGACTTCAAATAAACCTTGGCATTAACTCGGGCAGCAATCTTTTAAGCCATCTACCTCGCCTTGCAACTGTAGCACTGTTGATCTGTCTTTTTAACACAAATTTGTTTTTTTTCATTTATTCATTAAAATCTCTAGTTCCAGTTGTGTGAAACAGGCACTTTCTGTTTCCTGTTGTCATGGTGACTCGTCGAATCTGCGCTCTACTGATAATGGCTAAACATACTTGTTATGCACGTGCTCCACTGCGAGTTGACCAACTCAGAGTTCATTAAACTAACTCACAGCAGCTGTTGGGAAACCAAACATTTGATCTACGTCTGAGTTTCTTAAACCTGCTTTGTGAAACGGATCTCTGGGTTACAAACCAGGCCAGCAAAACAAATTGGCCATCACAGCACCCCTTCTGAACAGCAAAACTGCACAGAAATGGGGAAGGCCATCTTGAAAGTCACTTAAATAAGTCAACATTGACAATAAGTCACGCATTCAGTTTACAATATCCCCCTTGAACATTTTAAAGTGAGTTAAAGTTGCTCTTAACTCTTTTTTATGTAGTTTGTATTTGTGTTTGAAGTGTTAGTTAAATGTAATGTCAATAAAGCCCTGCAGAAAAAGAAATTGTCACCATCTGGGAAAAAATCAACAGTTTTTTTTTCTATCCTATTAGCTTCTTTTCTATTCTATCCAATCCTATTATATTCTTTTCTATTTGAATATAATTTCTAAACATAGTTTTATCTGCAATAAAAAGTTAGGTTAATGCATACTACGAAAAAAGTTTAACTTTAATAGCATTTGAGGTATAAAGTTTTCAAATTCTTATTTCCATTTTTCTTCCCACCCTCATAAAAAAAGTTTGGCTAATACGCTGAAAGGGATTGCACAATAAAGAGTCCCTCCACAAACTCCAACAATAAAAAACAAAAAAAACCGCAGTAGCAATACAATCGCAGAAGGCAAATCTGGTATAAATCTGTAATCTTTAAAAGTTTGTCACATAAAAAAACCATCAGAGTTAAAAAAAAAAAAAAAGCTTACCTCCAGAGTGTGGAGGTGGGCCACACAGTAACACCACTCCTTGACCCTCACGGACCCTTACTGGACTTCGTCTCTGAGTTTTGAAATTTTCCAAGTCTGTTTGAGAAAAAGCAACAGAGCAACCAAACAACATTATGAGAAATATGCCAAAGAGAACATGCAACCTAAAAGATAACATCAGTTAACATCACATTAGTGGTTGTTCAGTAGATCATGTTAAACAAGAACAAAATGACGCTACAGTATACAATGCAGAATTTGCCATGATGTTCCATGAATAACCGTAGGCATTGTGTTTTAAGGTTCACAATGCTTCTGACTAAAGCAGAAAGCAATTCTTCAAGCTTAAGTCACACATGAGTGAAATTAATTGAAACAGCGAATTGTTATCGCTCTCCGTGTTTGATCCACTGCACGAAGAACAGCAACAATTAAATGACAAAGACAGAATCATCATTTGTATGGAAAACGATCATTTGTTGACAACCTGCTGAGAGAAATCAAATAGAGACAGCAATTGCTGAACACTCTGCTAAGCCTTACCCTCTGTGGCTCTTGCAGATATTGCAGACGCTTAAGCCAAATGTGTGCCTGACATAAAATGACATAATAAAGACTCACTTCAAATAACAGGCAGAGGGAATGCAAATCTCACATCCCCTTTGTAGAGGCAAAGAAAATAGACTCTGCATAATGCATGTGGTGCATCATCTTCACAGAACTTGTGAGAAATAAGTACTTTCTCGATAAAGAATACAATGCACAAAGAAGCAAGCATTTTCTTTAATTTATTTGTTTCCTTTTTTACATGATTTATTGATGAGATAATATAAAACAAAAAAAGTTAATGTAAGGAACATGTTAATCCATTTTATCTGCAAATGAACAACATGTTTTCATATTTCCATGGTCAGATTTCCATTTCAGACCATAATTGCAGACCTTATTTCCTTCAGACCTTAATTGCACATAGGTGGGGCTAATAAAGTCTAGTGTAGGAAGCCAGATTGACTTATGCCCTATAAACAATGGATCAGTCTGGAAAGGAGGTGGTAGAGCCTCATTTAAAAGGCAGGACTAAAAGAGTGATAGGAATAAAGCTAAAATTAGATAACTAAGGTTGTGATATAAATATAGCTTTAAAAAAAAAAAAAAAACCTTTTACAGCAGCCAGTTCTTGAAAATGTAAAGATATAAAAATAAAAAATAAAATAAAAGAAAGATATTTCCAGCTTATTCAGGACATAATACATGACTTAATTAAAACATTGCTCTGTTGTGGCAGCAATCTAGACTGCTGTGGTTACAGTAAAAAAACTAAAAAAAAAAAAAAAAAAAAAACTGTTGCATTATTGGTAATTCTGGCCCCAAACTCCCATCTATCGCGTGGTGATTGGTCTGGTCTGTTTTGAACCAAAATGTCTTACCAGGTTTACTTACAAAAAATTAAAGTTGAATTTGCAAAGAGATGTAAATAAAGTTTAATAGGACAAGAACCTACTCACAGTCTTCTTAAAATCATTTCAATTGTAAGTCAGTGGTATTCATGTCCTTGACTGTGTCAATATATAGAACTATCCTAGGATCAAAAGGCAAACAAAACAGATTTACTCTATGGATTCAGATGCTTGGTGATCACAAGGTGTGGCCAAAACTATATAAAAATGCAAAAAAAAAAAATTTAATTAAAAGGATTATCAAAGGTTCAGTGTTGTAAAGTTCACATATGCTTGCAACAAATGTGAGCGCTTCACAGTTTTCTTTCAGCAATTTTTAATCATGGCCAAATCGTTTTTACAATCAGTCGACAACTAATATTGTAATCGATTAATCATTAACTGGAATAAAGAGACTCTGAAACATACATTTAGCTAAAAGAGGTACCTACTTAGAAGGGTAATTATACCAAAATAGCAAAAAATAAGACATAAATATTTTGAGTTTAAGATAAAAAAACGTTTCCATTAATATGGCCTACTCAGGAGTCATGAAGTGGAAAATATTTTGTTTTACCTGGTTCAATTCTGTAAAAAATCTCCTTTAAGAATCCTTTTTATTCTCCGATTTATCGGTTTATCAAAAAAATATTTGACGGATTAATTCATTAGCAAAATAATAGTTAGTTGCAGCCCTACTTTAAACAATCACAAAACAGGCCTACATCAGAGGCAACCAGACATTATTCCTGAAACTGCTTGCCTCCAATTTAGGTCCGTTTTGTGGTTGCCATGAACCTAAGAGTGAGAATTTACAAATGCATTTTTAGCGAAGCATCTAACATTTTCAGCTAAAAAAGAGCCAGTGGTGTGTCCCTTTTCATCACATGGGCAGATCTAAGCTCCACCGTTTGCTAAAAAACAGGGGGATTTACTCTTGTAAAGTAAGCATTTCAATCCTCGATAATCAGTATCCCCTTTTGTGACAGAGAGGCTGTTACTGATTCTAAGCAGAAATATTCAAATATGGTGAAATTCACTACAGGCAATAGGAGCAAACCGTGTTTAAATAAAAAAGAATGGAGACAAGATCACAATAACCACTGGGCATGAAAGCACATCACATTATTTTAAAGTGAAATTACAATTGAACTAAATTTACATAATATGTAAATTTAGTCCAATTGGATTGGATTTCCATGTGGCCTCTTTTAAAATGCCTTTAGAAATTATAATATAATTTCTAAAGGCATTTTAATAGAGGCCACATCGAAATCCAATAAGCACTTACAGTAAATATATCTGACCCTATCTGGGAGAGTGTGAAAAAAGCTCTATGCTCTTCTTTTCCTTCAAAAGACAAGGGAAAGTCTGTTGGCCTGGAATAACTATATTTAGCCAAGTTAAACAGTATTTAATTACATTGGGGTTTATAAACCAGTAAGTCTGGCCATCACTTTAGTGCATAAGCGTCGTTAGACCTATTTAAGGGTGGCTTCAGCCACCCTTTCTTTGGCATTAGCCACCCTATAATTATTTTGCGATTTTAAAAAATATATATATTTTTTCTGTATTTATGTTTTCCTCATATTTTCCCAAAACAAATGCAGTAAAGCACCGAATAAAAGCCATAAAGAAGACAAGTTAATCTGAACAATCATAGGCGTAACTTCCTTAAGGACTGGTGTGGACATGTCCCCACCAATATTTTGTACACGTATTTTGCTTTCGGTGCTGTGTATATCTGATTAAAACCCCATTCATGCCGCTCCTCAGAAGGAAAATAAAAAAAAGTTCTCCCCGCTGCTCACCGTCCACAAACCCCGACAAAAAACTCAGAAAAAAGAATCTGTTGCCTCTCGCTTTCTCCCCATCACCCCCCTCCGCCCTCTCCCCATAACATTTGAATTGAAGATATCCGCGGGTGACGGGTCGGGTTCGGTAGTCATCCTAACGGGTTCGGGCGGGTGCGGGTTGGTAAAACTCGACCCATGCAGGTCTCTAAGCTACACTACATTCAGTATCGTTGCCATAGAAACAGACAACAGCGCCAATATATCAGAATTATACTAAAACACACGCAAATAATTTCCCACATAAAAAACAGGACTTTCAGTCCATTACAGTTTTCCGTTTTTAGAGGGTTGTTTATTTTGCGTTTATTAAGTGATGGCTGTGGTATATTAGCTTTCACTGCTATAAGCTTTCGCAGCAGTGATTGATTAATTTAAACACCTGCTCTACTGATGGTCTATCGGAGTTGGTGTTTAGGTTGAACATAAAGAACACCTTTTATTTGAAGCTTCTTATAGCTACTGTTTTAATCCCGGCTTTACTTAAAACTTTTTCCTGACTTTGATAGTGTTGCCAGTAGCAAGCACTGCGCCCCTTTTTCTTTTATATGTACACGTACATTTAAGATTTAGCGTGTTAAGTTGACAACTCATGAGCAAGCTGCTTTTTGCAGTCTAGCAGCGAGGTAAGGATAGGATCTTGCAGGTGTGACGTCACTCTGCAGGGGGTCCAAAGATAAAAGATTTAAACAATTTTTGCATTGGAATTTCAGATTTAAGGGAGTTAGAAAGTTTGCTTAGTAAAAGTGCAAACAATAAATCTGATTACCGATTACTTTTAAGCTGGTTGAACATACTGCGACAGACTGGTGACCTGTCCAGGGTGATCCCACCTCTCACCCAGAACGTGGCTAGAGATATGCACCAGCACCTCCTGATCCCACTGAGGGATAAGGTTAAAGAAAATGGATGGTTGAACATAGTCCGCTCTCCCAGATTCTATCAAATCAGTATTGATACCCTCAGGGGCGGATTTAGGAAATTTGGGGCCCTAGGCAAAGACAGGCAGGGGGCCCCCTGAGAAGTAAACCCATAAAACAGACCCATTCTACAGATAGAGAAATGTTAATAGAATAGACATCCATTATTTGTTCTAGGTTTTGTCCCTCTCTTCTTGTCCCTTTTTCCTCTCTATTTATCAGCGTTCTGATGGCATTTTAGCCAAAGGATTTTTATCAAAAACATAATTAATGTGCACAAATAAGGATTAGTTGTATTAACCATACATGGAAACAGAGTTTTATGGGGCCCCCAGAACTTGGGGCCCTGGGCAACTGCCTAGTATTGCCTAATGGTAAATCCCTCCCTGGATACCCTGCTGGTGGATGTTCTTGACAGAAAGACGGAGTTGCTTAATCATATTCTGCTTAAGGTCTCATAAGATCTTGTCCGAGTCCTGGTTTAAAAGTAAATTAATTTTAAAAAGTGACCCAAAATTGACTGTCAATAAATGTTCTACAAAATTGATATATTTATTTGATTTCTTTGATTTGTACTGTCTGTTTAGATTTATGTGATATTTTTTGCACAAAATATATAAGTGAATATTGTAACAGTTATGTTTTCAACTGTAAGCATTAAATTGATAAATGTTATTTGCATTTTTTTGGCTTTATCCTTTCCAACAAAAAAAAAAGGCGTTGCGCAGGTAGCTCCCTTTCCTTATGAGCCGTCCCCACCAACTTTTAACACAAAGTTACACCCTTGTCTTAGACAACGCCTTAGCAGGTGCACTGAAAAAATTTGGCGCGCGCTATGCGCGCGCATTATCTTCTAGGGGCTGAGCCACCCTTGTCTCTTAAACCTA